TGGAGTCCTGCAGAAATATTTTCATTCGTGTCTGTGACCCGTGGAATGCTCGCTCAGAATCAGTCGTCTCTGCACCGGGAGCAATGGAGTTACATCCGCCACGAAATCATCAATAATATCATCGCTAAGCGGTTGACCACGATTCCATTTTCACCCAACTACAAAGGGAACGGTCCCAGACTTATGAAGGTGGTGCTTCAATCTGAGTTTATGTTACCGCTCGCCTTGGAAAACTGGTCCAAATTCCGCATGAAGCTGCCAGCGGAAATTCGGTTAAAGGCATCAGATACGCTGCCACGGATTACCAACGACTCACGGGGAGCGATCAAATTGTTGAACCATCCACTCATGCGACTTTGTGAAGGCATGGATTTATCGACAACCGCAATATCCCACGAAACATGGCTGAACACGGGGGACCAGCAGGGCCCGGAAGGCCGCGATCAGTCGTCTAACCGAAAGCAAACTCAAAGGCAAACGTCACCACAAAAAAACGGTTAATGGCCGACCCCTTAACGGTCGGCACAAACTCCATTCCTACCACAACCTGTGCAAGCTCACACTTGGTTACAAAAGCACTATCCTGCATGTATACTAATGCACAAGGCCTCATAAGTAAGTTGGTAGAACTCCGTCACCGTTTGGCTTCGGAGCCTAGAGACATCATAATGATCGCCGAAACCTGGCTGAGCGGCGAAATCACAGACGCTGAGATTGCCATACCGGGTATGTCACTTCTCCGGAACGACAGAACGGGCAAGGGCGGTGGCGTGCTCATTTATTTCCGAACGAACCTTCGTTATGAGCTCATAGACGATCCCCAGACTTGTGTCTCCGACGTCCTTTGGTGCAAACTGTGGTTGGAACGCACCGACGTATGCCTTCTCTATGTGGTTTACCGACCACCGAAATCCACTCCGGAAAGGGACAACAGACTTATCTCCGCTTTTCGCTCCGTGCTTAATCAGAAGTACAGCCACATCCTCGTTGCAGGAGATTTCAACACCCATGACTTGGAAAAATCCAGCATCCGAGACAGAAGTGTTCAAGGCATGTTTGCAAGAGCTACTCTCTAGCACCTTCTTGTATAACCACGTCACCGTTCCAACCAGGTTCAGAACAGGAAACAACCCATCGATATTAGATCTAGTGCTTACTAACGAAGAGCTCATGGTCGATGGACTAAAGGTGTGCAGTCCTTTGGGCCGTAGCGATCACGTGACATTGCAGTTCGACTACATCTGCTACGCCGAATATCCAGCTGCGGAGCTCGAAACGAGGCAATCTGTTACCCATTACCACGTTCTGTCTGCTCTAGTTGAGAATACCAGTTGGACGTTTCTAGCTAACTGCACCCCAGAACTAGCCTGGGAGACATTTGCGAACACCATCACGTCACTAGTCATAGAAGCCTCAACACCAAAAGTTTCCCAACATCCCCGCACAGTGAAATCATTCTTGCGAAGCCGGACGCGAAAATGCATGACTCTAAGGGATCGGGCATGGCGCACGTATAAAAGCAACCCCAGCGCGGAAAACTGGACGGAATACGTTTCGCATCGCAACTACTGTGTGCTTTTGGTTCGCGAAGACAAGAGAACGCATCAGCAGGAGCTAGCCAAACGATTCTGTTCGAACAAAAAGCTTCTTTACGAACATGTGAATGGACTTCGCAAGGTGCAACGGGGAATCCCACCACTTAATACGACCAGTGGGTATACACATACTGCGAAGGAGGCGGCCAACGCATTACGGGCCCAGTACTCCCCAATCTTCCAAGGTGTACAAACCTCGACGTATATTCCGCCACTAGTTACCCCACCGTCCGTTTTATCCAACGTCACGTACACTGCAGAAATGGTGCTGCAAAAGCTGCTATCCTTGCGTCCACACAGCTCTCCCGGGGCCGATAACATTCACCCGAAAACATTACAGGTAGCTGCCATCCACTTGGCCGAACCACTAGCTGCATTTTTTCAGCGCTGTTTCGATGAGAACATCGTACCTTCTAGGTGGAAACAAGGTGTAATAACGCCCATATACAAAGCAGGAAGTCAATCGGATCCTGCCAATTACCGCCCCGTAACGCTTCTGCCTGTGATCGCCAAAGTCATGGAAGCGGTGATAGCAGATGCGTTAATGGGATACTTGGAAAACTACGGCATAATTGCGCCAGAACAGCATGGGTTTCGTCAACATCGTTCATGTACGACGAATCTGCTGATAGCTCGTGACAACTGGACCGAGACTGTCGATGAGAGAACAGGAGTCGATGTTGCATTCCTGGACTTTTCGAAAGCCTTCGATCGCCTGGATCATCGAATCCTGCTCATTAAACTTCAACAGTACGGTATCGGAGACCCTTTGTTAGGATGGATCGGTAACTTTCTCTCTGAACGGCAGTTAGAAGTTAGAGTTCGATCATCCTTTTCCGATCCGATTCGAGTGGGATGCGGCGTACCGCAGGGTTCGGTACTTGGGCCTCGTTTGTTCCTGCTTTTCATTAACGATCTAGTAAGAGTTATTACCTCGAAATTCTTACTCTTCGCGGACGACCTCAAGGTTTGGCGGGCGATAAAACGATCTCACGACCATGAAGTCCTACAGCGTGAGTTGAATGAAGCCTGGAATTGGTCGGTGAGAAACCCCCTGCCGTTTAATGTGAACAAATGTCGCGTTGTTCATATCCACCATCGACAAGTCCACGTCTACAAGCTTGGGGCACACGATCTGAAGACCACCATTCAGGAACGCGACTTGGGTGTGCTGGTACAGGAAGACCTCGGGTGTTCCAAACAGTCAGATTCCGCTTCTAAAAGGGGCAACCAGCACGTTGGACTCCTGCGAAGAGCATTCGGAATTTTGGATCCATCCATCTTCTCTTTGATGCTGAATGCCTACGTGCGTCCTCACGTCGAATATGCAATCCAGGCCTGGCAACCCTGGCTAAAACGTGACCTTGCAGCGCTTGAGACCCCACAGCGTCGAGCAACGAAAATCGTCAAGGGCTTGCGCCACACTCCTTACCAGGAACGACTGGAGAGACTCGGAGTGTTCAGCGGACGGTACCGGCGACTTCGTGGAGACCTCATACTAGTGTACCAGATATTGAGCGATCCCAGTCACGTATGCCGCCACCACTTGAAGCTCAGCCCGAACACTAACCTTCGCGGTAACAGTTTAAAGCTGAGCCAACAGTACAGTCGTCTAGACTGTCGTAGAACCTATTTCTCCCTCCGGGTCTGCGGGCCCTGGAACGCCCTTCCAAACTCAGTTGTTTGTGCCCCCACATTAGATACGTTTAAAAAACGATTGGACGTCGCACTGAGCGCCCTGCGCTTTGTTTTATGAACGAAAACGCTTGTATATATTTTTAGGCTTACCAGCTTCTTTGGATTTACACCCCAAATTCACGGTCGTAAATCTGTGCGAACCGGTGAGTACTCCATTTTTATTTGCTACCATCACCAACGATAACAATTTCTTAGCCAGTTTTGCGTCGTACCACTTTATCCCCCTAAAACTGTTATACTTCTACCTTTTATCTCACTGACTCTCCTTACTTCAACCACTTATGTGGTTTGCCAATTTGTTGGTATTTCTATTGCCAACCTGCGGGACTCGTTAAGCGTATGCTTTTTTACCCGTCATATACCATTGTTCCATTGTTCCATTAACAGTATTTGAAAGACGGTTGGATGACGCACTCATGCGCTTACAGTTTGTCACTTAGTGCTACCTGACTTTGCTACAGCTGGGATTTACCATGGATTTATTTGTTGTTAACTGTGGGTGCTGTGAATCTAAGCCGACTGCAGGACTACAGCGGAGCAAAGGTTAATCCTTAGTTCATATGTAAAGTATCAAGGTTTTACTATGATTATTATTGTTATTTCGATATTCCCACCAACCATCCAACGGGACTTGTAAAGCAACGCTTCTTAGCCCGTATAAATTCATTGCCGCCTGGCATGTGGTTGAAGACAAGTCGTGTAGTCCAATAACCACGGAACGCTACCGACGCAAATAATCAGATCTAGCTATTCCAACAGAGAACGCAGCAGTCCATAAACGCGGAGGATGCGATGCCTTCACCGAAATAACCACAATGTAGCCAGTAGAGCCTTCAAATGGTTATACTTGCACATACTATTAGACAACTTTTTGGTACAAACCTATTTGAGGGATTATTGACAGAATCACGGGGAATGCTGATCCTCAGCAATCCAAAAATTCCCGTTTATTAGAATGAATCAAGGGAGACAGAATTTGAGTAAAGAATTCTTTTCGGTAATTCTCATTGGACTCAAACATTACATGATGAGGAAAAATGCTAAATGTGCCGGATTGGGCTGCGTATTGAACACAATGTTTAATTTCACGGGTACAAATCAATAAATCACAGTGTCATTGTAGTTGGCAAGTATGTACATCCCAAAATGGTTTTACAAAGGCGAAGCGAGGTCGAGTAACAGTTCCACCTTATTTCACCTTCTAGAGTGCAGTCACACAGGAACGTAAAATGATTTTAGAGTCATCTATACTGTTCCTGAACGTTTCACTCGCGGATTCCGGATGCATCTTCTGTCTATCGCGGAAGCCATCTACATTCGCCATCTTAAGCCAGAATTATGCGTACAAAAACAGTTTGTACGTCCTTTACTCCTACCGTGGCCTACAACTTCGGATGTGATTTTCCCTGTACATACTTGCCACCTACAATGACCCCGTGATTTATTGATTTGTACCCGTGAAATTAAACATTGTGTTCAATACGCAGCCCAATCCGGCACATTTAGCATTTTTCCTCATCATGTAATGTTTGAGTCCGATGAGAATTACCGAAAAGAATTCGTTACTCAAATTCTGCCTCCCTTGATTCATTCTAATAAATGGGATTATTGACACTTCATCATTGTCAACTTTCAGTCAGCAGGCATTGGTTAGTCTGGAAAAGCCCCGGACACCATTGTTTCTACATTCTGGATCTCGCCAGTGGTGCGCCTTCCAGCGGATCCCTGCTGGGTTCCAACCCCATGGCTTCCGGATGCCAGCAGCTAGTGCCACTTCGCCATGGGTGACAGCCGCAGAGCCACATGATTGACAGTTGACCGTGATATAGCCCGGCTCTTCTTCCACTGCTATGTCACTTACGAACTATGTAGAGGACAGCAGCTAGCCCCACAAGCTAGGAATTTCCGCATATCGCCTTGGTACGGCGCAAGGACTTAGAAGCTATACGGACAGATTTCATGGGGCTAATGACTGACTGCAATATATCAGAGCACATTTTGGACGTTCCCACTAAAACTACCCGATCGTCCACCACAGCCCCTTTCGCTAGCTATCCCAAGTGCAACCAAGGAATGTAAATTTTATAAAGAAAATAATCCTGTTGGACAATTACAAATGCAGTGAAGAAAACAACCGTTTGTCCAAAGAAGCGTATGTGTGGGAACCGAAAACAAATGTGGTACTCCATCATTTACTGGCTGAACAGAATGTGTATAAGAACTGTCAAGGTGAGGTGTGGACTGTTAATGAGTTTGGAGGTTCCCGCCACTTTTCCTCAGTAGAAATATTTAAACTTCTGTTTTCCCCGTTACCATGGATGCAGTGTGATATAATATATCCGGGTACCGATTTGTGCGTACATTCAAAGAGAAAAGGACTGCATTCATAGTGGTTCACTTCTTTTTCACAGCAAGAGGGAGCAGGTTAGAGGTTAGACTTCTTGTTATGCAGACTGCGCCGTGTTGTTAGGATGTAGAGAGACCGGATCAAACAACCCCACTGGGCTATGAAGTCAATAGGCTTATTCAGCGCGTATCACAAATTTGGTTTGGGCTGGGAGATGCCATCCGGCTGAGTGTTGGCCAGCGTGTCTTCAATGGTGCTCGGTTCACTGGGTGATGCTTTATCTGCCCTGCGCTTCTTGCAGACGCACATAACCGTTACGATTACGGAGATGCCAATTGCCAATATCACTGCCAACAATATGAGAGCAATTTGATATCCAAGTAGGCCACCTGGATTGTCCATGGGAACAAAGCTAAAGGAATCGAGAAAGAGCGAGAGAGAAGAAAGAAGAAAGGTTGAGGTATATGGAGGAAAACATGACAGAAAATGTGCACAGCACATTTTAAGATTTTTACGGGAGATCAGAGGTTGAGGTCCAAACGCATGAGAATACAATCTGACTCCATACTTCATAGTCAAGCATCAGCAAAGCAAGTATGAGGCACCTAACTAACATCGAGATAATTGGCTCCCATCAACCTAGCGCAGATATAGAGACACTGGGTAATAAGAAGGTTTTGCTGGTGGACGATACTGAAAACAATTACAACAGAGGACTTGAACCCGAGGGTTAGTTTGCATTCTGGCTTTAGACATAAACTCCAATACAAGTCTGGGACCTTGCGTGCACCATAACCCACAAATGCGAACTGTTAAAAAGAGAGTTATGAGAGCATTGCCCTCTTCTCAAGTCGATTAACGGCGAGGTTTATCAGAATCGACTACACCGAATAGCAACTTTGACACTAGTAATCAGCTGTTTTTCACTATTTAAACAAGCAATAATGCGGGTGAAAAACGGGGTACTTCACTACTGTTGGATGTGAATCCGGTGCCACATTGTGATGATGTGTGTTCGTCAAAGATTTTGTGGAAACTTTGTCGTCATATATTTATGTTGTTTATGTGTTCATGGAACCATGGTCCTTATTACCAAATAGCAACCTTAAGCTGTGTAGAATGTGTGTCGCAGTACGGAAGCTTACAACTGTTTGTATTATCGAAAAGATCCCGACGCTGGATTTTTGGTACACAACCGATCGCAGGATGATCTAATTGCCGTCTTGGATCGAAACCAAGCGGTGGCATCGATAGCAAGTTATGTATGTATTGTTCGTCAGTGCGGCGAACGCCACTGCAGCATTTATAACCCACCTCTTCGACATAGACTGTCTCAGTTGCAGCAACTCGATTTTGAAAACGACAGCACCGTGCGTGTGGCGATGGGCCCCCTGTCCGCCTTCATTCACTGTGTTACTATCGAGGGTTTCAATTTTCGAAGCGCAGCTAACCGAGGTCTCATTGCGTAAACATACGATACATAGGGTCCTGTATCGAATTTGCGCGGTTAGGCCCTTAAATGAGGAATTTAGCACAAGCTGATACAGGGATGACGCTTATCTTTAGATGATGTGATTAGTACTACTACACACTAAATCCCATGGTTGCAATGCCTTGTTTGGGGACATCATAAAACTGTCACTTTAACTAGGGGAATGGAGGACGCAGTCTTCGCGGCGATACGAATTTCCAAGTGGAACTGCCGAGTATAGTTCTACGATTCTGTCTCCGACCTGTATGCGTCTGGATTACCTAGCCCTATGAACTTCAACTTAGCCATTGGCTGGTTGTCACAGCTTCGATGCCCCCAAACGCCCATGACATGTCTCCGTGTTATACACTGCATTTATTGTCTGCGAAGAATGTCATAACCCTGGTGTGTTAAAAGACAGATGCACTGTACTTATTCCCTGCTAACGGCATCCATAACGCTTTCAAATTCCGTCTTAAGGAAACATTTTCTCCATAGATCTTTGAAGATGGGTTCTAATGCTATCAGATTGCATCCAACGGGCGGAAGCGCTTCTGAAAAATGCGTACTGTTCGATAAATAGCCAGTCCCAATTCAATAGATAGTATAACAGATGAGTGCATAGAGTGGGATGTCATTGGCTGATTTGGGATTGGGCACTCAATGGGCAGTGGCATTTACGGGTGTTTGAGCCCGTTAAATGCAACTTGGTAGCGTTTATGGTGTGTGCAAGCTATGTTATTATTTCCCGGGCTCTTGTTCTATCTTCTGAGCCCAAACGACAAAGCATGTATGTTTGTAGAAAATTTGGTGTTCCTTTGTTGCATACACTTTTATGATAGTCCCCTAGTCTGGAGCCCACGACAGCTGCTGCGTACTTTAAATCGGTGGCCTCAGACTACATCCACTATGCAACTACTTGCTTTCAATGGAGTCGGCACCCACGAACATTATCCTCATCATCGGGTAATTGAGGTAGCCAGTGACATCACCTTTACTATTGACGTATTTACGGGGATATCGCTGCTCGGGAGCTATGAAATAGATGACCGTGGACTATATTGCTCCATGTTGCTTTTCTCGGATCAATCTTAAAAGCCGGAATCGTGCAGTCACTACTTCGATGCTTAGTTTATCTTGACCACAAGATATGAATAGGTACGTTAGAGAAGTTGTCAAGATTCTTATTTGTTCCATATTTCACAACAAGTATTGGATCACGATGCTGCTACTCGCGGATGGTGTGCAAAACGTTCCTTGTCTTAACGAGATAGTTAGTCTGAACGATTGACTACATGCTGGAAGGAGTCACAGGTCTGTCGCCGATGCACATAGCCTGTATGTCAGTTTCCGCTCACTTGAAGTGTGCGAGTGACTGCAAAAGTCTGTTCCTTAAAAATCAGAGACTTCAATTGCTAGTATCTCCTCATTACGCACCTCGTACATGAAGCCCTTGGGTGTGGTTGTCACTGGGTGTTACCATGCACATGTTAAATGGGTCTAGGCGGACTGCTAAATTAACGAATCTCAGAGTTGCATACTTCAAGTTGCATACTACGGGAACATCGCAACACGGTGATAGGGATCGCGGATTGACACTAGCGGATCGATGAGACCACTGGATCAGCCAACTACTCTAGATCGTTTAAGGCTATTCGCTTGTAAGAGTACGTCCGATTACCGCAATGCCTGAGTTCCGAGTTCCTCATCCCAGTACGCAAAATCCTGCTACTCATGACAAACATCCGTTGCTTCGTGTTCTAACCAGTAATTTAGTTCTTATATATAAGACACTAATGCGGCTTCTTCAACGAGGCAAAAACTGGACATTTTCGTGTTAACGGTCAAGTGGCCAATTAAAGCAAGATAAACTCAAATCAGTGATCCGGAATTAGTCATTGTGCGGGCGGGTGTCGGTTAGGTTTAGAACTGCGTGAATTATAGTAAACAATGGGACGCCCGCCTGGCAAGTAACGCAGCCAAAAGATTTCACAGAGTGACAAAATAAATAAGCAGAACACTGCAAATAGTAAAAGGGTAGCTTTTATTTAACTCAAATGAGAGGGATGCGGCCGGGTTTGCCTACTCCGATCAACTTTGGCCAAGACGGGGACCTGCTTTACTCCTCAATTCGTGACTAAAGATGTTTGTCAAATGGAAAACTGTGAAGAAATTACTTTTTGACAAACCTCATCAGGCAGTTACAATTACGAGATTTCTCATCATTGGAATAGAAAAGATTAGCAGCGATGTGGCTATCTGTATGATGCGACCAGAGGAATGGTGACAATCGACATCAATGTAAACCCACTACCATTGATCATTCTTCCCGAAGGCAGCTGACTAGGTTGGGGCCATGGTAGGCTTGATGCTTGCACAAGTACCTGTTGTTTACACAGTTCCGACTTAAGCCACTTGATCGCAAGTGCTTCTGCTGTTAGGTGGTTCGAATGTGCACCCTGATGTGTGCTTATGTTTTATCTATAGGTAAATTTTTTCGAGACGTTTCTATTTGTTTGCCTAAAAGGTCCCCTGGCCTTGTCGACAAGTTTACTCCCGTCTGCTGTTTACAACCTGACGCGGAACCTCAGTGGTGAGTAAACGAAATCCTTAGCGAGGTAGACAGGATAAAAAACACACGAAATAACTTGCGGCGAGAGACCGTTACGTTTAGTCATCTTTCAAAACGACAATAATGGTTACAGGAAAATCTACTTTAGGTTACCTTCGCGTAACCCTTCAGATGGCAAAATCACTTACGCTACGTGTTATACCGACCAGCTATTAAACTATCAGAAAGCTTCCTTTTCTTTATTCATGGCGATACAGAATTATCGTAAAAAGCGTCCGTTTGTTCTCTTGTAACAACATGCTCATTCACAACTAAACATTAATTCGCCAATGTGCTTCACGTTCCATCGATTGGAATAGTAAGCATAGGCGCCGAGCGCATTACTGCATGAGAGCTAGCAAACGATTCAAGCAAAGTAGATTGAAGTGAAGGAAAGCTTTATGCAAGTAGATTGATACATTTTTCCAAAATTTTCACTATCTAACAAAATATTATAAAACAGCGTTCGTACGTATGAGAATTTTATGATTTTAAAAACAGAATGGGCAATGAGTGCACAGGTGTCGTTTAAGTAATCGTTCCCGCATCTTTAAGCAACGACCGCAATTTAATAAAAACGAATTATAAGATTCTTAATCCAGTTGGAGGCCAACATTTGTTAAAACGTTTATTAATAGCTCGTTTTATTCAGACCAAAGCAGCAAACTGAGAGTTATGCACGATGTATCGGGTAATTTTGCAAAGACTCGGTGGGGATTGCGCGGCCGCATCGCCCTTGAAATTGTTCAACCAAAGCTTTCGTAAACATATACAGAATAGGCGCGTTTGCAGTAGATAGCGCAAAAACGATGTTTTGGGGGAGAGCAGCAACGGCCAATTCAAAGGTCCCGCTTATAAAACCAAGTGTGAAAAGAAAAATGAAAATGAAGCAAATACTTTGTTTGTGTAATGTGGTGAATCAATTATTAATCCTAGCTCAGATGACGATGCACAAGAGCTTAACGAGCCTGATGAAGCCATGGACTCTTGGCGCCTAGAGGTACTCTGAAACTACGTAAAAGCTAACGGGGCCGTGAGGGCAAACACTTGTATATTGTGATCCCATGTGCATTTTACAAAATGTAAGGACCATAGGAAGGAGAAAGCATATTGTCTGCTTTTCCTTCTGCTGGTCCTTGTGCAAACATCGGAAATAAAGAAGCTGTCTCTTAAACTTGATATATATATATATATATATATATATATATAAAGTTGGTTGATACCGGGTACTGATAGTGTGCGTTTCACAGGAACGGTGGTAGCAACACGCTTACTCAAGGTCAAGCTAAATTTCGCAACGCAGTGTCCGGTGCATGTCACAGTTCTGTGGACATTAAGACTATTGACCCGCGCTAGGTGGTCGAAGGAACAAATCTGCGGTCGCCTTTGACATTGCGTTTTTTCAATGTTATTTTGTGTTTAATACTTCTACACCGATAGTTTAACCGATGGTTTTCAAGACAAGTAACCACGAGAAGCCAGCCAAGGATATGCGGACTTGTTAACTTCAAGAAACTCACTTCAAGATGTAGAATAATGCACCCAGGCTCCATTGTACATCAGTATTATTCAGTGTGTCAACAACCAGCAGATTTTGATAATCTCTTGGGAAGTTAAAACCATCGTGAAGGAGAGTAATGGTGTACACACCTTTGAAGCATACATATCTGTTGGGAATGGAAGTGGAACACAATTTGGTTACTTAATGCGAGCCACGGTACTCCAACTTCAGTTGATATGATAATGAACAAAACTGGTGAGACAGCGCGCCGACTGTCGAACTTTATTGCGGACGTAAAACTGATGATGGTGGGGACACCGATGGGGGAAATGCCACTAATAAGTATGCTTTAATCATGTTACAATTGCTGTTTAGGCAATAGCCTAGTGGTGCACACCATCCGCTAACATGAAGCGTAGTTTTGCATGGACCACAGATCATCATTACTGACCGGGACCTACACAATTTGGTCCAATCAGGTTGTAGAAACGTGAACCACCAAGCGTTATCTCGGATACGTCACGTATTAAGGCCAAAATCACAGCGAGATCCTGACTCCCTATAAATGGAGGTTCAGTTGGCTTGGACCTGATAAAACGAACACTACTACGTATAAATGGAGGATCATCCATATAAAAGCTGGTGTTTGCAGTTAAATTTGGCGATTTGTGCCAATTAATCCACAGACTTCTACTCCTTGCTGAAACCTATGATATTGGCTGCAACTTGGAACATTACACTTTAGCTCTTTGTTTGTATCGACTTGGTTACATGACCATTTATATTTCTAATTACAATCATGGTAACACAAGGTGTGACGACTGACTTTATCTCTGAAAGACTAGCAATCCCAGTCCATAGTGGCTGTTGTTAACTCATTCTGCGAACAACTTTCCAAAAACACAAAGAATTGGGGCATGAATGAAGCCGATGGGCCCAATAGTTGGAATTTGAAAGATGGATGATCCAAGTTTACATCGCGCTTCTATTGCACACGATTGCAACTAGTAAGGAGGGGATCTGGTCAACATACGTCTATAAAACCCGAAATAAGGGAGCAATTTTGTGAGTGGGTTTTGCAATATCGCCAGCTCAAAGTGACGGGTAACTTAGAAAAGCAGGTGAAGCATTACAGAAATCCGAGCGTCCCTAATCACGGGAAAGAACATATTATCGGTTTACATTTCTGTACGAATCAAATGAGGAAGGCGTACGCGGCCTTGTTATCTCATCCGTTTGAGTATGGTGTATATTAAACTGGAAACAAAAAAGTATTTTAACCTAACTCGTGTGGCGCATAGGGCCAACCAGCTGCAGTTCGTCGAAATATAAGTGCCTGAACATCCGAGCGAGTTCGTGAGATGAACAGTAAACCTTAATATCTCCAGGTCATATGAAATAGTTAACGCAACATTGTTCCTGTGTGCTCACCAACGGCCTATTGCGCAGTGTGCCCACTGTTGTCTACAGTTAGCCCAACACATTTGCTAACAGTGAACGACAGCTTGTTATCACATTCAATATGCTTCGAGACCGACGTTTGATTGACTGATCAATTGTGTTGATGTAACACGTGTGGACCATCTGCTAAGCAGCAGGTAGAACAAACTGGTCAGAACAGACCACTGAGTTCAGTCGCTATGCTGCCTACTGCAGTCAAAACAAGTCCCCAGGGCACAAATCACACGTGGCTTACCTGAACGGAGACTAAAACTCCGTATCAGCATGGACTCGTTCGACGACAGCTGTTCACACTACCACACAAACAGGCTCTTCTTATTCACCAGAGGATAGCGGTTCAACTACTTATCCGGTCTGGTTGTTGTTAACTTTCACTCTTTTATCTGCGGTCAGAACGTGTGGGACAACTATCAGACGAAATGCTGAACTCACACTCGTAGAGTATGCAAGGCTAACTCATACAAAATTTAGCAGAATGATAGGATTGTGATGAGAAGAATGCAAGTTCGAACACCCTAGATTGCAATCATTCTCCATGTTTTCTCTGCTATGCACGATGACGATTTGTCGTGTAATGTATGACATGGATTGAAGTATAGGCTCTACTGTATGTTTTAATAAGTAAGAAGAGGATCGTCGTATGTGTGGTACCATTTCGTACAGTCAGCGCACCTGCACACCGGTATAATTTTCTATTACTCGTTTGCCTAGTTTCTTGTTCAACCGTAAAAGTCTGCATCTATTACCCCTTACCGGTGAATGTAGCATTATACTTGCATACGCATGCATATAATTACCTAATTAACGCAATCTTTTAATCAAATAGTGGTTCTCAGCTTCCTGATTTGAGCAACCGGATAACTCAACTAAATCGTCCACTATTGCGAACTACCATGATGACTTACATGTCCAATCAGCGGCTGTCAAAATTACGCGAATATGCTTGATCATGAAGTTGTTATCCGAAGGCGGCCGGTGACCGAGTGGTATGCGCGTCTGGTTTGCAACCATAAGGTCACCAGTTCGAATCCGCGTAGGGGCGGGCGTCCTCGCGGTATACTCAGCCCACGCGCGACTGGTGATAGTCGCGTGGCAGCGAAGCGCCGTTACGGCGCTTCCGAAGACGCATTTGTCCATCTAGGCCCATCACTTTCTGACCGTAAGTCACAGTGAAATTTTAGTGCTATTTGGGGTTTATTATGTTTGAGTATTACTCTGCCAACTTATGCGTAGGCATCGAGTGTGCAACCAAACAAATTTGGCCACTGCATGCATGTGCGATTAAAGTTTTAACTAGCACACAATTTGGTTGTACCTGCTATAGGTAACGGGCCGTCATCCATCGTACAAGCCATTTTGGGTTTTGATTGCGATGCTGCTCGCAGCTACATTGTCAAAAAGTGATGTGTTGCACTAGGGTAAATTCCATGGGAAAATAAAACTATCGATGCCACTGTTAGGATGGCTCCGCTTCCGATCCACATGCCTCATTGAGAGAGAAATAGTGAGTCCGAAGCTAGTTCAAAGCCATAAACAAAGATTTTGGTGCGTATATCATCCAGAACACAAGTTGGGATTTTGGGTCTATGGGCACATGTGGAACACGAAATAGGTAAATGTGTAGGACAAATCCAATCTGCTTGCAAAAGATCAAAGTAGTGCAGTGGGGTGAAAGCGGCCCAAAAATCATCTCTAACGATGGGAATGCACCAGTTTCCTGAAGTTATGCTACCACATGTATGTCTTGATGTAGTTTAATAGCAAAACCATCATGTTGGAAGGGAGTTTCGAATGAAATCGAGAGCCCACATTATTGCCGCTATTGTGTTCAAAGTGTCGTTCTTTGCGAAAGAAAAAAAACCCGCCTATCGCGGCTACATCAAGCTGATGGCTTGACTCTGCACGCACAGCCCAGAAACAGGGACAGAGACAGTATCCAGTTTGTACTGCACATAGTTTGTGAGATTAGAGGTACATAAAAGCGATTAGAATGTAATCCACTGCGGGTGGGGATATTCGGATTTATCGAGAACAGCATTATCTGTTTATCATTTTGTTATATAATAAGCAAAAGGATGAGTAGGAATAAAACATAACAACCAGCCAGTGCACTGAGGAAACTCATGAAAAATCTAGTTAGTTACACAAATATCATGGTCTGACGACCTCACCGTGCACCTCGACTGCTATAATGAGGTCTCATCGGGCTTGCGACTACTGACATCTTTACATCGTGGCCCAAAGAATGAGTTCGCGAGTATAAAAGATTGCTGACTTGATAACATCAGAGGTAAACTTAAGCCAAAGTGGATATCACAGCCTTGCCGGGTCTGTCAAATCAAGCTAGAATGTCAATGTCAGTGTGTGACCAGTTAAGTTAACCTAAGTGCCTGTTTTAAAACTTATCAGAATCGCTCATTTAAGCAAGGAATAAATTAGTATGAGTTTAAAAGCTTACAAAGTTGTTATTTGACCATGAAGTCATTCGACTTGAAGTAATGTCACACAAAGGCACCACGTATGTCCCTAATAAAACAAGTATGGATAAATCTGGGCGCACACTTATACAGCTGTGGACCAGTGCGCCAACCCAGATGAAGAGTGGACAATACTCACTGGAAGAGCGACGGAAAAATGGGTGATAAACCAGTAAAAAGCAGCAGAATTTGGCAGCGTCCTCATTAAGCGCAGCATTAGTTGAATGAGATTAACCACAGGTGACCAGTTTAAAGCGGCCAGATACGAACAGCGTGTAAAATGTTGAGCTCAGGTGTAAAAGTGTATAGGTAACAATCGATTCGAAGCAATGTATGGGGCTTTACAAAGTTTCTTACTTAGATAAAGGCAAAAATCAACAAGCAAGTCATATACTTATGTCCAAACCAAATTATCAAGTCAACTATGAACACAAACATTTGCGAGGTGCTTAGCGTGTTTGAGATAAGGGTGCCTCTAATGGTATGGCTGCACGTTATACTCCCAGTGACACACATGGATCGCCGCCAATGCTGCGAACTTTCGCAGATCAGTAGGCATTTTGATTTGCTCGAAGCTTCTTGTCTACCAACAAAACCGCGACTGTTACTGCGCACCGAAAGTATTTCCTCGACTGGTGACGAAACTTCTACAAGATAGGCGCACATGTTTTTAACAATTTAGATCCCATCGAGGGAACCAACGTAAAAGGTGAATAACAAGCAGACAAGGGATGTGCTGCCACCTAAAGTTCTGCGTCACACGTTTTACAAACTTCGGCCTCTGACTAAGTAAGTGACCGTGACAGTTTGGAGGCTGTAATCACTGGGGATCTGGGGAATTTACATTACAAATTCACATGGGTTAAGCTAGCGTAGCGTGACTGCCTAACAGCTTAGCGGCAGAATAGAACGACTATGTTTACTTCATTTTTGGTCACCCCGCACCAAAGGAAGATTTCGGAGGAATTGACCGGAACTTTGAGTATTAGTTTGAAATGGAGAAGGTGCTTTCAGTTACAACATTTTAGTAGTGCAATCTGGAGGCAGTTTGTTTGAATACCTGCAATACGAATATTCATAAAGACAGCTTCGGGTAAATCATTGTGAAAATGCCGGATATTCAAATTCTTCCTGAGGTACAGACATGCCCAGCAGTGCATCTAGTAAAAGTATTTGGTATATTACAGACAGCACAGGCCAGTCTGTCGCTGTGACCCAGTCAAGTTGG